TCATTTCTGTAGATCAAAAATCGAAAAGAAATAGGTATAAGAATTCTAGGTGTGTCAACCAAAAACAAACGAATGAGAAATAGTAAAAGATCGAAAAGAACCTTCGATTTCTTCGAAGATGTAGAGATGGTGGCCGATTTTTTGCGCTTTCGGACTAAAGCCGAAGGGTCCGATTCATCAGAGGACTCCCAGTCCTTTTCTTTTTCCTTCTCTTGCGCCTTTTCGAAAGCGACTACCTTAGTAGATTTTGAAACTGTCGAGAAATGAAGATAATTAGTTTCTAACATACAAAATTAAAAAATATGAGAAGACAGTAAAGCCTCACCAAAAGGTGATGGAGTCAAATTTTGACTCGATCGATATGTACTAGCCAAGGAGGCAGGAGGTCTTCGGGGAAGTTAAGGTAAGGAAAGTAAGATAATTTCGAGACAGAAATATCTTTGTTTTTGGGTTTTGGGCGAAGTGTTTCCCTTAGGGATCTCAATTCTCGAACCCATTTGGGATGAGTTAATGGTTTGGCAAGTCCAAAAGGAGCTGTGGGAAAAGTGGGAAGACGATTTGGACAATACATTTCAAAAGGGGTTCTACCTAGAGGATTGATTATTTTGTGGTTCGATCGATTAGCGTCTGTTTTATTGGATAAGGAGATAACAGCATCATAATAGGTTGATTCTAATTTCAGTGGGGAGTAACATATTTGATAAAAGTTCTCGAATCGAGATATTTGAAGACAGTGGAAGTGTGTACCTTTCTTCGTTCTCGATTTGTCCTGCAACACAAGAGAAGGATGAGCAGTCAGTTTCTGTCGAACTTCATCAAAAGCAGCAGGACTACTTGAGAACCAACCGACCCACCATTGAGAAAAACCCACAGTAGACAAATAATTTGACTCGAAAGCATAGGGGTAAAAATGCATCGGGGTCTTTGGTAAAAGCTTGACGAGTTCCCGACTAATCGTAGATTTAGTTAACTTGGACCTTGGGAAGGTATCGAGGGGGAAGAAAGGTAAAGACTGGCTCAAACCAAACTGCCTCGAGAAAAGCTGAGGATAATAGGTTATCAACTTAAAATCTTTTGACTGAAAACCCGATATTAACACATCATGGGTCAAGTAATTACTCCATATATCGATCAGCTCCGATTGCAACTCAGGAGTCGAGGCAGGGAACTTTGACTTAAACCAAATTGGTCCCCTAAGTTGATCACTTAGTTGTCCGAGATGTGTGGTAAAGGGAGCCAAAGTCGAGTCGAAAGTGGACCGCGTCAACAAAAAATTAAGATATCTACAATAGGCCGCTTCATTAGGCTTATGGTGAGGATGACGAGAAGACAATCGAGCGCCTTCTATATTTATACTTGGGGGGACAGTGGAAGATGGGGAAAGGATGCTCTCAAAAATCGAGTTTAACCATAATTGTACAAACCAAATGGGGCCAGAAAAGTTTCCCGACGCTTTAGGAGTGCTCAAAATTTTGACAGCCTCGTCGAAAGCGGTATATACATGAGCTAGCAAAAGCTTAGCCAAACATATCCTAGGCTGGCCTATGTGTAAGAGATATGCAAGGTCAAATAGATGGGGGGAAATTTGGATCGATCGAGGACAGAAAACATGGGTACATAACCAGTACACCAAAAAGGCTATATGTTCTTCCTCAGTCACAGTCATCGATTCGTCGTCAACGAAATGCCTCTCAAGGAAATGTCCATATGCTTTCGATTCCCAATCGATCTTTAACCTTAGAGAGTCATCCGAAGGGCATGCACCTTTAAAATACTTTTCCCCTGTAGGCTTCAATCCAGTAATAGTCGCAATTTCAAAAAGAGTGGGCGAGAGGGGACCGCAGGGTAATTCTAAGGCATGTAATTCCTTATTCCACAAGTGAACAGCAGATAAAAACATGGTCATATCCAGGTGAGATAAATCACATCGAGACAGGTGTAAGAAATCGAAAATCCCCACGACCTTCCAATGATTTCCAAATTGTACCTTAACTCTATCAAACCACCTAATATATGAAGGTTTTTTGGAAGGAGGGTCTGTCCTATACACCTTAGAGGTAAGATTCGAAAAATCAACCCTAACTTCAGGTTGATGTACAAGAGCCGGACTAGTCGGGAGGTTGAGGGGAGAGAAAATTCCATCGATAGGACGAAGAGGACCCCCAAAAGCAAAATTAATACCCTCAATATTGTAAGGAATAAGTACCTGGGTCTCGGCAATTTTCCGAGAAGCCTCCTCCATCAAAGGAATTGGAGCAAACTTCTGGTTATTAATCTCCAGAAGAGGGGCCGTCAGCGAAGGAAGAGGTGGAGCCGAAAAATCAGAAGATTTGGAGGAAGTGGCCATCTCAGTAACTGGTAGGATGAAGAAGAGTAAGGCAAAAGATGAAAGCGCAGGGATGAAGACGAGCTCAAGGAAGAAGATGAAGTTGCAAAGGGTAAAGGTTCGCGTAAAAAACCAGAGTAAAAAACCAATGAAGAGATTAAAAGGAAAATCACTTAGGGAGCTAGAAACGACAGAGGTGAAAGGTAATTAATGTGGCTTGTACCGTAAGGCAGCAGACTGACGAGACAACGACATAAAGCAAAAAAGAAACCTAAAACCCCTTAAACCCTAGAACCCCAGAAACCCTAAACCCTAAGTCCTGTGGGCCTCCAAACACTAAGGCGGGAATATTGAAAGAATATAAACAGAAATCATTTATATTCTTCCAAGGGGGCATTTTGTTAGTAGAAAATCGAGAAAAGCGATCGAAAATGAGGGAAAGGAAAGAGAGAACACGTGACTGATACCATTCGATGTCTAAAACACGTAACACATAACATCGATAAGTACAATCGAGAATCGAAGGAACGATAGTCAAATGCCTATTGTCGAAACCTAAGAAACTAGAATGATAAGACGTTAAGGTTGAAAAGGAATCGTAAGCAATTCGAAGTTCTCGAAAGTGTAAAATCGAAAATGAAGAAAGCTAACCTACACGGACATCGAAAACCGTGGCCAAACCATAAAGAGAAGAGTAAGTCAAACGCACGGATAGAGAGCAGTTTCTAAACCATGGAGGAAATCAAAGATCGTGAGAACGTGGAAAACCGTAGAAGATAAACTGTCATACGCACGTAGAACGTGGTAGCAGTCGTGTTAACTGCTCTTGGAAGGCTTGAACGATACCCTATAAATAGAACAAAGGAGGAAGGAACAGGGAGCAAAAAATTGGCAGAGAACAGGATCAGTAGTGAGAAAGTCTACCGGAGAAACGACGAACAACATGAAGCTCCTGGCAATCTGGATTTCTATGCTCACGGAGTACCTTTATCGCTTTCTGTATTTTCCTTGGTAATTTACTTTGATGCAATTTATGTTTCAGCAATTTTATGATTCTGTATTTTCGATTCTTAGTCATTTCAATTCAATGAAAGTTTAAGTTTCTGCATTTAAGTTTCCCTGTCATTTACTTTTCTTGCAATCTCGATTTCTTGTCATTTATATTTACGCTGTTTTCGATTTCTTGTCATTTATATTTACGCTGTTTTCGATTTCTTGTCATTTATATTTACGCTGTTTTCGATTTCTTGTCATTTACAATTAAATGCAAATTTGGGGTTTTCGCACTTTACATTTCCTAGCAATTTAATATTCTGTTTCTCGATTCGATACTTTTACTGCTTTCGGTAGTCTAAATATAAAATACTAAAAAATAGCATTTTGATAGGCTGTAACTTTCGATTCTCATACACGTTTTCGATTGAAAGTCAGACTGCTAGCCTAAGTAAAAAGAACTTACGTGGGAGGATTTTGATTAGGACCATAACACTATTTAGAATCGAAATCGATCGAAATTCCACCAGAAACAGGTAGTGATAATGGTGGTGTTTCGTTGGTCTTTTCAGTGATTTGTTCTTCTTGTCTTATTGTATCTTTTTGGATTATTTTGATTGTTTCTTTTCTTCTTTAGGTTTTTCTGGACTTTCAACAACAATAATAAAATAGAAATATTTTTGTAACAACATGATTGAGATAAAAAATAAAATTTCAATTTTAATAAAAAATAATATAAAACACTGACAATAAATAACGACCAATAAATTAATGATGATGTATCCGCGGTTCACTGTACCCGAAAAACGCTCTCGGAAGTGCTTGTGCATTCACCTTGGTAATTTTTCGAAGAAAAAACCTTTGCGCGGGAAGATCTAGAGGGGATATAAGAACTTTATTTCACACATAATATAAAATTTACAGAGAAAATTGAATCTTGACCTGAAAATAAAATCGTGTCATCTCTATACATTTTTTGACCAAAATATTATCTACGAAATAAAAAGGCACAACAGTACTATTGTAGGAAAAACAATCCACTTTTCTCATGCAATAATAATGACTTCTATAAGTATGATTAAGATAATTTTTTTTATAGGAGATAAATTTTATTCAACTACATGCTTATTAGTTAACATCATTTAACATTTTTTTCCTATTTTTTAAGCCTTTCTAAACATAATTTGAACATGATAAAGATTGGTAAATGTCAATCTCTAACATGGAAAAAAGAAAAAAGTGATATAATTTATTGTATAATTTCATAAATAAATAAAAACAAAATTACAAATATTGATATTGTAACATTAAAATACAACAATAAGTATACTCATTATCTTACTAAACTAATTTTGTAAAATTAAAGTAGCCATCTATTTATAAGAATGATGGTACATAAATAACAATCTTCGTATCATTATTATCATCCATGACGTACGTATGATGATGAACTTTCTTTCCAAAGAAAGTATTGAAAAAGAGACATATTAGCATCAAAACTCAAAGCTATGTTACCTTACCGCATGTAAAAAATTATCTCCAACTTTATAAAAATGTAAATAATTCAACAAAAAAATACTTGTATTAAGCATCTGATCCAACACCCTATTCAATGGACCATATTACTACTATTCATCTCAGTTTCTAGTGGGTTTTTTTTTTTTTTTGTATTCAAATTTAATTATACCCTCACAACTCTCTGCCGAGGATGCTGATGAGAAGTGTGGTGAGAATTGCGGGTTTTGGATTCCTTGGACTTTTCATGGATAGCTTCAATGGCTTCCAATCCCTCAAGTACTTCTTTCATTGAAGGACGCTGTTTAGGGTCATGCTCTAGGCATTTTAGAGTAAGCTGTGCTGCTTCCAATGCAGCCTTGGGTGAATATTGACCCTCTATCCTACCATCCATAATTGTTTTCAACTTTTTCTTGGAAGAGAGACAAGGCTTAGTCCATTCAACCAGGTTCTGCTGCCCTGTTGGTCTTCTTGTGTCAAGTGCCCTCATGGCTGTCATTATTTCAAGCAGCACTACACCAAATCCATACACATCACTCTTCACATACAAGTGGCCTGTTCAATATATTTATACAATTCAAAGGCATGTTAGTTTGTCGTGGATCAAAGCATTAGACTTCATTGTTCCTTATTTTTAGTCTACCCTCTCAACTTCATCTTCCACAGACCATTCATTGGTTTACTATTATTACATTAAGGTCTGTTTGTTTTAAAGAAACTTTCTGTGTTTTCTTGTCTTTGCTGACTTATTTTCACTTTATTTCGTATCTTCAGAAACAATGAAAACAGCATATTTCCTTTTTATGCCCTGTTAAGTCTTTGAAATCACTAAGTCAAGTGTCATTTGTCAAACCAAATAAACCGTTCATTTGTCCTACATTTTGCTTCCATTTCCTTCTTACATAGCATAGTATGTAAACTTCTTGGTTCATGTTATACTTTGTGAATCATTAATAAAGTCAAAACATACATTTAAAGCTGTTTTGATTGTCTATTATGTGTGGATATAATTACCTGTTGCGATATATTCTGGAGCAGCATAACCATATGTGCCCATGACCCTGGTAGTTACATGTGATTGTCCCCCAGATGGCCCCAATTTAGCCAAGCCAAAATCTGATATTTTTGCATTGTAATTCTGTAAGTCACAAAACAATCGGTTAGCAAAATGATATGAAGAATTATTTAGCATTAAATAAATATCACTTTTTTTACTTTGAACATCGATAAATATTTTTCAACTAGTAAACTGTGTCCAGTGTTGACAGAGCTAAGAAAAAGAGAGAGAATGGGAAGGAAGACGATGCCCTTTTCAGATGATATTTCTATGAACAGATTAAGTTAATATTTTCTTTAGATTGGCTAGTAAAACTAATAAAAGGATCCAAATTTGTAAAATCTGTGTTCATCCCAATTTGATACTACATTTTCTGTAGCTTCCATCTCTCAAAATAAGGGAAAAGGTAGACTAACAAAAAACTACTCACCCCGTCGAGAAGTATATTTGAGGCCTTGAAATCTCTGTATATGACTTGCTTTTCGGAGGCATGCAGGAAAGCTAGTCCACGAGCTGCACCAATAGCTATTTTAAGCCGGGTGCTCCAAGAAAGTGGTTCTATGTTAGGATTTCCTGCTCAGAAACATGACAAAGAAATATTAAAATCAAATTCATGAGGAGTTTTCTTTCACTATTTTAGTAGTGTTCAATTCATACTTCTAAAGAGATGATTCTCCAAGCTTCCTTTAGGCATGAACTCGTACACAAGAAGAAGTTCTTCCTCATCCCAACAGTAGCCCAATAACTTGACCAGGTTGGGGTGGGAAAGCCTTCCTAAAAAGTTCACTTCGGACTGCATTTTCAGATCAACATAAAATTGTGTTACCAGATAGCTAGTCTCAATTTATCACATGGAAGGTATATCCCGATTTGTGTTGATGATTACACTATCATATTAAATCCAATATGACAACTGTAATAGCAACATGTCTTGTTATAATTTAGCATGTCCTTTAGAACAGAACAAGTTCATCCAATTTTACCTACATTGTCTAGAAAAGTTTTTATTTTCTGTAATGCATCTTTGCTCCAGATTCGGCTCAAGACCCAATCCATATAATGGATTACCTCAACCCAAACGCTGGATTAACATAGATCAACTGTCTAAGAGTATGAATTCTAAGATGAGATTAAGACAAAAGCCCTTCAGAGACCTTAGACCCCATATATAAAGGATTCAATTCCTATCAATAACACCAACATCATTTATTCGAGACACATATTATTAGGTAATGTTACTCTAAACACCTCTCCAGTCTATTTCAGATTCATTAGCATTGTTCAAACATACTATTATTAACTAATTTTAGAAGGAATTGTTAGGCTGGTTTATAATAACTTAAAAAAATATTTCCCTTTGCGAACGGGTAATGCGATGGCGTTATACTTTTCAAACATGACGCGCATAACATTTATAGTTTTTTTGTTTTCCCTTATTTGAAGGAAAAAGTCAAATGAAATTCGCAAAACAGCCAAAAGGATACAAATTTTAATGGTGAAAAGTAAACGCCCATTTCGAATACTATATCATGAGTCAAACATTCAATAGTGTGGAATTTAAGGCACCGTATTTTAATAACCTATCTTCACTAGTGGATAACCAATGAAGGGAAGAAAAACAGGTCAGGTAAGTGGCCCCACAACAAAATTTCCAACTACATTCCGCGACCACCTTGCAGACTCCGATTTTTTATAATAATATATTTCATGTGGAATTTCAAATCCTGGCATCAACTACACACAGCTGTGACTCAACATAGCACAATCAAGATCACCATCACCATATTAATTAACACTCCAATTCTAAATGCCCTTTGGAGTCTTCACTCAAAACAAGAAATAAAAAACCAGACCAACAGATGATGGGGTATGGCCATAGTAGTGTCAATGGTCGGAAGAGCATTTATTACTGTCTAGGAAAAATTTAATTTGAAAATTCCTTTTCTTTTGGTGAATAATGGAAATTCTTTCCCAACCACAAACAAAGAAGAAGAAAAGTAACAGTACAAATTACGAAACGGAAAAAAAAAAGGAGGAAAGTCCCAAAGATAATGATGTACCAACATAGCATTACTACCTCTGAGATATTAATTAACGAATGACGATATCCCCATTAATTAATTATATGAAAAACTTAATAGGAAATTCTTTTTAAACCACCAACCAAATAGGAAAGAAGCACTACCAATTTGAAAAAAAATAATAATAAAATTAGAATTTTGTGTCTGAACAGCTAGGTAAATAAATTTAGAGAGATTCTATTGAAGTAACTTTTAAAAAAAATATTATTTATGAGAATAAATTCTATCTTATTCTATATTAATAGCTATAATAAATTATTAACTTTTATAATAATAAGAATATTCAATATAATTTCTGATAAGCTAAAAGGACATGAACTTTTACAATTTTCATTCATAAAAAAATCAACTTTTAGTTATCATTTTGGAGGTATAGCTATTATAGAAAGACTTTATTGAACTTTTGTTTTCATCACCATCGTCATCGTAGATATGTGATTTTAATTGAGATTCTAAGTATGACAACGGTGATGTGTCAATTGAATCTTTCAATATCAATCATTGGATTTTAATCTATGCTAATGGAAAATTTACTAAAATCTTGCAATGGTTAAAACAAAAATAAGATTGACACAATGAAAAATTCAAGATTAAAATCACATTTCTATAAAATCTCCAATTGACATAGTTGAAACAACTAGAATTGTCCATTGCGAAATGCAATTCAGTCCCATAAATTTTACTAAACTAACTGTGTATAGCAGTTTGTAAAAGGATAATCGTGTAAATCTTCAATGATAAGTGCATATACTATTTATTCATTTCTTCGTAGTCTAGATATTGAAAAGAAAATGCGTTGGGGAAAGGAAATCGAGAGAGATGAAAAAGAAGGTTACCTTCCATTCTTGGAAGCCTTGGGTGCTTTGGGGGTTCAATTTTTTTATGGCGACGACCATGCCAGAGCCTGGTTTGGCAGGGGTGAGATTCTTCTCATCCAACCACCCCTTGTAGACTCTGCCAAACCCACCTTCACCCAGCAATGTGTCTCCCTTGAAACTCTTAGCCGCAGATTTCAGGTCCCCGAAACTGAACTCCTTCAAGTTGGGTCGTTCCAGAATCTGGCCATCAGGGGAACAAAATGGAAGAGACCCTTCGCTATCGATGCTCCCACTCGCCATCTCCGAGAATTGGCTCTTCCCGAAACTGCTAGTGGTCGCCGAGAACCCCACGTTCTTGCTGTCAGCACTCGCTGAACCTGAAATCAAAACCAAATCGAACCGGTTATGGGATATTTTGATTAGAGAAAAGAGTGGGAAAGTTGAAGACTTGCCTGAGTAGTTAGGAGGGTTGCGGGAAGAAGTGTGAGAGGAGGAGAAGCAGAGACCCATGTGGTGAGGAACGTTGTTGTTCTTCTGATCAATGAATTTCAGAGAGAAAATATGGGTTGGTTTTGTTTTGGGTTGTTCTGGGTTGTGGGTTCAAACAAAGGCTACGGAGAGAGAAACAGAAATAAAGAGAGAGAGAATTGTCTCCATCTATTTAGTTATGGATTTTCTTTTTTGGCAGCAAAGTTTCAATGTAAGTTTCTGGGACTAGCATTCTTTCCTTAATTAATATCCCAGTAGCACATTTTTTAATTGAAGGTCACACAATTCTGCCTCAACACAGCTGAATTCGACCTATGTTTTTCTTAATTTTTTAAAATAAGAAAATATTTATTAAATATAAATATTAAATATATATATATATATATTAAATAAATATATAAATTTATATATCATAAAATTATATTTATATAATTATATGTTTAATATATTTGTATATATTTTTATAAATATAGTAAATATCAATTATTAATATATATTAATATTTATATATTTATTTAATATAAATTAGTAGAAGAAAAAAATAAATTTATATAAAATAATTTATTTAATAACAACTTTGATTTAAAAAATTAGAAAAATACAAATAAATTATAAGATTATATAATAAAAATTATTTAAATTGTTTAATATAAATTATTTAAAAGATATTTTTTCAAAATAATATTAAAAAATAATTAATTATCCAAATAAACTCTCCACTTTATTTATCCACGTTAACCTATTTATTATACAAGGTCTAAATATGATTTTCAGAACCAAAATTCGAATGAGAATTTGGCATATAATTTGCGTGTGACACCAAAATAGCAATTAGAATTTGGTTTCTAATAAATCAAATTTTGAAGTGTGATTTGATATTTTTTTGAGGTTAATATTATATATGTATATATAATTAATACATATTTATATATTTTAATATTTATATAATATGATATTGTTGGATTAAACCATTGATAATTTTGACAATAAACTATACGAAGTTTGATGTGATTGTGAAAAATTTTAAAAACTTCGTTCTCACGTAGTTACAACGTACAAATATGTTCATCATGACTATAAGATGTATATCAATAATGTCACGTGAGTTGGATGTAGTTAACAAGTGTATAACAATTTATTTATTTATAGAGATTAAATATGAAGATTATTGGTAATTCCATCAAGACCTATACTTTTATCCCAATCTAACAATGAAAAAAAGTTTCAAGGATTATCAAAAGTTAATACGAATTAGAACTAAAATGGATATCCACTAACAAAATCACCCCAAAGAAATGTTCACTATAAATTATTAAGTGCGTAACCACGACTTAAACTTCTCATAAATAATTATGATGTAGTTTTATAATATATTATTACAATATATAAATAATTATTATTCTACTATTTCTAATTTATTTATTTATGTGTATCTAAAATATTTATTCAATTTAATTTAATGTACAAGCTGTGTTTCATGCGAAAAAATATTCTTCCTTATGTTTTCTCAAGGTGGTAGGGATGACAATTAAACCCGTACCAGTGGGGACCGACCGTCCCGCCCAGAGTTTGACGGGAAACCCGAGTTGACCGGGCGGGGTCGGGTTCGAGTTTTCCCGCTTTAAAAGTCGGGCGGGGCGGGGATGGGTAATGCAATCCCCACCCCGACCCGCCCGATCCGCCTGACCCTGCCCGACTTTATATTTAAATTTAAATTTTAAAATATTAATATTTTAAAAGTATTTCATTTTCTTTTTTTATTACATATAAGGTTATTTTTTTATATTTCACCAATTTTTATTTTTCTTCTACCCACTTTTTAATTTTTTTTATCTTTCTCAATCTTTTATATCAATTAATTTATTATATTATTCTCTCTCTTATCTTTCAGTTTTTCACATTTTCTTAGTCTCTCCCATCAATTTGTTTTTTTTCTCCATCTTTTCAACCAATTTGATGAACACAAAGTTAATCTTTTTTCTTTATCTTTTTCTAAATATTTTACATCAATCTTAGTAGTAACTAATATTAGTTTATTTATAATTTATATTTATTATGCCATATTTTTTTATCTTATTATGCTTATTTATCATATATCAAATTTTATCTTAATAAAATAATTGCATTTTAAAGGATTAAAAGAAATTAATAATTTAAACTTTTATTACTTCAAACTAATTAAATAAGAATTAACTTATTAAATATTTTCTTATAAACTATATATTGACAACTTAAAAATGAATTAACTTATATGTATAATTAAATATTTGAATATAGTATTATAATAATAATGTTATAAATATTCAAATATTTGAATACAGATGTTATAATAATAATAATAATAATAATAATAATAATAATAATGTTATAAATATTATATATATATATATAAATAAAAAATAATTAAATATTTCTTTTACATATATATTTTAATATAAATATAATAAATTAAAATGTATATTTAATTAATAATAACTATAAATTATAAATATTTATTTATATATAAAAATACATAGTAAAATTAATTTATTATAAATATAATTATCTTTTTAAAAATAATATAAATTGGGGACGGGGCGGGAGCGGGAACCCGAAATCCAGCGGGGACGAGGATGGGGACTTAATTCCTAACCCGATGGGGATCGGGGCGAGGACGGAGATGGTTAAAAAGTCGGGGACGGGGACGGGAGAGGCAAAACCCGTCCCGTCCCGCCACGCCCGTTGCCATGCCTAGGTGAGAGGCTATGATTTCACACAACAAGCGAAATTTTGTTTTATGTTTACTTGCATTTTAGTAGAAACTTCAATGTTACTACATGCATACATATTTATCTACCTTATTTTCTCTATTTTTTTAATTATTTTCTTTTCACCTTATTTATTATTTTAAAATATTAAGAAACTATTACAGCATTAAAAAAAATTATAGATTATATAATAATTACAAAAAATAAATACTATAGTGTGGGAAATCCTCTCAGCAAGCTTTTGAGAAAATAATTTATATTTTTACATGTAATATATCATTATTTCATTTATTTCTTCAAAACTATAGTAAAATAAGAAATGAAAAAAAAATACGAATAAAGTATTTTAGTGGGATAGAAAAATTATCTTGATAATTAGTTAATCGATATATTTTTTTAAAATGCATGCATTATTATATGCATTATTATAAACGACGATTAAAATAAGACAAAAGGAATAGTCTTTAATTAAATTTATTTATTTATGAAAAAAATAAAAAAAATGTGATTAAAAAATATAAGATAAATATTTCATTAAATAATATGTGTGTTTATGTATTTAAATTTAAATAATATTATATTATTTTTTATTTCTTAAATAATATGTTTAGTCTACTGTTCAATTGGAATGAAATAAGCTTTAAATAATATTATATTATTTTTTATTTCTTAAATAATATGTTTATTTCATCAAACATTTTTTTAAGAAAAAATGCTTTACATTAACTTTAAGTTCACAACAAATTAAAAAACATAAAAATGTTACAAACTAAAAAATAAGAAATTGTAGAATTTGAGTATATATTGGTTCAGATATCAATTTAGATTCTTATTAGTATATGTTATTTTAGTAATATTTATGGTAGAGGATTGTAAAATATTAAAGTAAATTTAACTTGTATTTGGATCTAGAAATTCATAATTTTTACAGAAGTTTATATATATTCAAGTTTTTTTTATATTTAAATTATTTAGCTTTTTGAATATTTTATTTATATAAGAGAGTTTAAATTTTTTTCAATTTATTTTTTTAGTTGAATAAAGTATTTTAATTATTTATAAATATTATCATCACATAATATTAATGATATTAATTGAATTTTATTATAAATATAAAAAAATAATTACAAATTAGAAAAAAAAGTAAATAGAATCTACACAAAAATAATGATTGAGAAAATCTTGAAAATCTCAACGAAAGACAATATAATTTAATTCAAGAATAAATAATGGTAACGAAAATTTATCCACGTTGACTTAAAAACCTTAATTTACATAAGCTAAAAAAAACTATTAATATCAATACAAAAATTATAATTGACAACTACCAAAAAATATTATATAAACTTACTATAACATTTTGATAAATATAAATAAACATTTATAAACATAGGCATGTATATTTGTTCATCATTATTTAGTTCTAAATATATAACACTATATTTTAAAAAACAAATAACTAACTAATTTTTAATTTGAAAATTTACTTAATCTTTCTATATATATAATATTAAAAGGATAAATATTAATTATTTTAAAATTATTTTGATTTTAAACACCATTTAGAAGAACAGAAGAAAAAAAATGTAAAATAGAAGATGAAAGTGATTTTTTTTTCTTAAATGGGGTGAGAGGAGTGATAAGTAAAATGTAAAATATATATTCTAAATTTGTAAAAAATATAAATTATTCTTATTTCAATTATCTTTAATTTCAGATATTTTCTTAAAAATCAGACAGAAAAGTGAAAAAACTTGATTGAAAATAAGGAATTAAAACAATTAAGTATATAAATAAAGTTAAATGTATTAGTAATTTTTTAGTTAAATGTACCTGTCCGGATCTTTTATAATATAATATAATAATTGAATGAATTATTGTATTGATAAAGCGATTTAATTATTTGATTATATATTAAATACATTCAGAGAAAATTAAGAAATATATTTCAGAAGAATGAAATCTTTAAAAGTTAAAACTAAATTTCAGTATATAAGAAAATTAGAAATAGATAAGGTACATAAAAATAGGAAAAAAAATTTGATTGTTGAAATTAAAATAGATTGTCTGAAAATTGATCGTGATTCCTGAAAATAAATTATTTTTATGTTATATTGATTTCTCACAATATAAAATCTCCAATAAAAATTTAGAACAGTTAATAGATGTCTTCAGTAAATGATTTCTGACAATTTCTAAGTAAAACTGTAAAAATATTAGTTGTTTATAGACATCTCTTACTGTTACAATTTAACATAGTTGAGTGAGAAAATA